GCCATATGAACCCTCTCTGTAGGAGGTGAAGGACTCCTTCAGGGTCCCATCAAGGAGTCCTAATTGCTCACTCACATTCCTCATCAGGCACTGGTAACTCCCAGTTCTCCATTCCCCTGCACATGTTCCCGGAGGCCTCAGAAGCCAAATGACTCCCCACCATAGTGAAGAAGGGCCACAGCCATTCCATCTCCCATCTCCCCACCCCAGCAATGCAGTACCCTACACTTCATCCCATGCCACCCCCAATGATAATTTTTGTTTTTCTTTCCAATGAAAATTTAAGTAATAGTGATACCTCTGCACGCAGTGCATTACCTGGGTGCATTTCCCCCACTGCAAGGAGGTTTCCTTTACTCCCTGAATTTTTTTAAAAAATTTACTTATTTATTATTTTTGGCTGCATTGGGTCTTCGTTGCTGTGTACAGGCTTTCTTTAGTTGTGGCGAGCGGGGGCTACCCTTCGTTGCGGTGTGCAGGCTTCTTATTGCGGTAGCTTCTCTTGTTGCGGAGCACAGGCTCTAGGCGTGCTGCCTTCAGTAGTTCTGGCTCGTGGACTCCAGAGCGCAGGCTCAGTAATTGTGGCGCACGGGCTTAGTTGCTCTGCGGCATGTGGGATCTTCCCAGACCAGGGCTCAAACCCGTGTTCCTTGCATTGGCAGGTGGATTCTTAACCACTGCGCCACCAGGGAAGTTCTGGACTGCTTATTTCAGTTGGCGCATGACATTGTTACCACACCAGGCACCATACTGCATTACTTATGTAATAAATTCTGTGATACATATATATCATAATTATCATAATAATTTACTTCTGTGACTTTTCAGTAGGCTGTGAGCCCCTTGATGACAGGGGTCTGTATACTAAGCACTTGGCACTGTGCAGAGCACATGGCAGGCTCTCAGCCAATGCTTGCATTGAGTTGAATTCAGTCTTTTCTCCTTGAGTTTATAATAATAGTTTCAGTCAGGCAGGCACTTAGTTAACATTTTCTTTTTTTTTTTCCAGCCCCATCCCAGTAATACTAATATAAAACTTTAACATACTATTGTACATTAATTTATAATTGTAACAGTGTACATTCCTTGAAGGTAGTCAAAAATTTTTTTAAATAAATTTATTTGTTTATTTATTTTTGGAGGTGTTGGGTCTTCGTTGCTGCGCTTGGGCTTTCTCAAGTTGCAGCAAGAGGCGGCTACTCTTTGTTGCGGTGCGCAGGCTTCTCTTGATGCACAGCACGGGCTCTAGGCACGTGGGCTTCGGTAGTTGTGGCTCGTGGGCTCTAGACTGCAGGCTCAGTAGTTGTGGCGCACGGGCCTAGTTGCTCCACGGCACGTGGGATCTTCCCGGACCCGTGTCCCCTGAGTTGGTAGGCAGATTCTTAACCACTGCGCCACCAGGGAAGTCCCTAGTTAACATTTTCTGAGCACTAGGTCTCTGCAGGTGCTGGTCTGGGCACATAGGGATACTAGATGTGTAGGACTCATGGCCTAAGAGTATGTGGATGAGCAAGGGACTGTGGGAGTGTAGAATAAGGATCGGTTCATTCTGATGGCAACAATGGGAGGGGTGGGCCCACTGAGAAGCCTTTGAAGGATGAATTGGGCTCCAATAAATGAGGGGGGGGAGGGTGTTTCCTGTTGAGATGCAGTGTTGAAAATCATGGGTGAAAGATGTCTAATGGGTTAAATGAGCTCAGGGGTGTTTGGAGCCTGTCTCTACACCTAGAGGTTGACATCTGGCCTTGCCACCCCCTGCCGACGTGACCTCTTGGCTTCTGAGGTCCCACTGATGAAGGCTGTGGACGGGCCTGGATGGGAAGTGTCTTCCCCTGCCTGTGGGCTTACTCATTTTCCTTCTTTTGCCTCCTTGCCTTCTGTATGCACATCTGTGGCAGACTCAGAATGGCTGCCCACAGGGGCAGGGGCCTCTGTGCCCCATCAAGGGGAGGCAGCCTGGGTTACTAGTCAGCGGGCTCAGGTTCCCACCCCAGCCCTGTTACTCCTTTTCACAGGCTCGGTTTACCTCTCTGTATATAAGAGGGTTATGCTCAGTGATGTGTGAGGTCCCTCCTGACAGCCCCTGATTCCTAGACTTGTCCTGTCCATACTACAGACTTGTGCTCAGGAGATGAAAGAATGCGAGGGAAGAAAAAAGATGACACTGAGACAACTCCCCACTTCCCAAACACATACATATTTTTTTTGTTGTTGTTTTTTTTTGCGGTACGTGGGCCTCTCACTGTTGTGGCCTCTCCCGTTGCGGCGCACAGGCTCCAGACGCGCAGGCTCAGCGGCCATGGCTCACGGGCCCAGCCGCTCCGTGGCATGTGGGATCTTCCCGGACCGGGGCACGAACCCGTGTCCCCTGCATCGGCAGGCAGACTCTCAACCACTGCATCACAGGGAAGCCCTCCCAAACACATACATATTACTGTCCCTAATTCTGAGGAAATTTGGTCCTTACTGAGCCTGGGAGGACACCCAAGGTTGGTCTTAATCTCATAAAGATGTCTTCATCTTGCCCTTGGCTAGTCGGAATGGTGGAGCAGAAAGCCAGAGTCCCCCAGGTAGGATGTTGGGAGTGGAACTGGGGCCAAGGACATCTGAGAAAGGGAACCTGGTGATTTAGGAGGGAGTCCAGAAACTGATGCAGGCTACAGAGAGAAAGGTGAGTTCTTCCTTCATTCAGTGTTCGGTTAAAAACCCCAAATGGAGTACTGCCATTCAGCTCTAGTGCTAAGCACCCGTAGTTAGCGCAGATCCCACAAGTTCAAGAGCACAATCCTCAACAAGACTGCTCTTAGTTCAGGTGCCAGCTGCAAGTTCAGAGGGGTCACAGGCCACAGGCACTTCTGATTCACTGGGTACAGTTTGGGGGATCCCACAACCCCCTTCAGTTTCAATAATTCACTAGAACAACTCACAGGACACACAGCTCAGGAAAGTGCTATTCTTAGGATTACAGTTTTATAGAGAAGATACAAATCAGCAGGACCAGCCAAATGAAGAGGCACATAGGGCAAGGTCTGAGAAGGTCCGGCATGCAGGGCTTCTGTGTTATCTCCTCGTGGAACCATGGCACATCACCCTCCTGACACATTGATGAGTTCACCAACCAGGAAGCTCCATTGAGCTTTGTGTCCAGAGTTGTTATAGGGGTTTCATTATGTCGGCATGGGTGATTAAATCATTGGCTGGAGGCTGAACTCAATCTCCAGTCCCCCTTCCTGGACCTCCCTCCCCATGGCTCAAAGCCCCAACCCTCTTCCCATAACTGGCCAGCCCCAGTCCTGAAACCATTTAGGGGCCACCATGAGTCACCTCCTTGGCATAAATTATCAAGGCCCACCATGAATATCACTTCTAATACTTGGGAAATTCCAAGGATTTAGTCTCCCCATAAGGAACCAGGGACAAAGGCCAGTCAAATTCTTTGTTATGTACAACACTTAGTTTGGTCAGTTTCCTCCAGACTGGCTTCTCAAGCTCACCCCTTCCAACTTTTTATCTTGACAAATTTTTTAAAGTTATTTTTTATTTTTCATTTATATTGAAGTATAGTTGATTTACAATGTTGTGTTAGTTGCAGGTGTACAGCTAAGTGATTCAGTTACACATATACATATATCCATTCTTTTTCAGGTTCTTTTCCCATATAGGTTATTACAGAATATTGACTATAGTTCCCTGCGTTATACAGTAGGTCCTGTTGATTATTTTATATATAGTAGTGTGTATATGTTAATCCCAAACTCCTAATTTATCTCTCCCCCCCCACCCTTTGGTAACCATACGTTTGTTTTTGAAGTATCTTGAGAAATTTCAAACCATTTAGATTCACCAGCTCTTAGCAATTTTGCCACATTTGCTTGCTCGCTCTCTCTTTCTCTCTCATGACATTTCACCCATAAATACTTCAGCATGTATCTCCTATGAACAAGGTCATTCTCCCACATAACCAAAGCACAGTTACTGCACCTAATTTAACATTGATGTAACACTGTCATCTAATATACAGAGTATATGCAAAATTTCCCAAGGGTAAAATGTCCTTTGTAACTGATTTTCCCCTCATTTTGCTCCAATACAGGATCACAGTTTGCATTTTTCACATCTCCTTTAGTCTGACATAGTTCCTTAATCTTGTCTTTTTCTTTCTGTCTTTTGTCTTTTATGGTATCAACATCTATAAAGCATCCAGGCCAGTCATTTTGCAGAACGTCTCTAACTTTGGTTTGTCTGCTCATTTCCTCCAGTTTAGATTCCGAGTGAACACTTTCGGCAGGAACAGTACAGAGGAGATGCAGTGTCCCTGCACCTGTAGTGTCCCTGCGGTGCATCACTTCAGGAGGCAGATGTTGCCAGTTTGTCCGATTAGTCGTAATTAAGCTTTGCTTACTTGATTAAGGCGGCCTGTGCCAGATCAGGCTAGCTTTCGATAAACTTAGAAACCTGGGTTTTATTGGCATTGGCTTCCCAAGCAGCTGGGGGGAATGTAGCACTCCTGGCCCGCCTTCATCTTCTCTTCTCCCCTCTGGGAAAGTCTGGAATAGTCCTGACGGCAGGAAATGGGGAGAGAGTGGCGAGGCTCTGCAGTGGTGTCCTTTGTTCCAGTTCTCCTGAGACCACTGGAGACATTTCCTCCATTATTTTCTGTCTGGTGCTCTGGAGCCTGGGATGGAGGTTATCTCCCCCGCCCTTCCCCCACCACGTGGCTATGCAGTAGTCTCAGCGCAGGCATGAACGCAGGTGTGTGCGCGGTGCCCGGGCGAGTGTGCAAACTCAGGTCTTTTTGCCTGCATCGGCGTGTCGGCAGGCACGTTCCATTCTGTGCAAACCTTCCCGTGTTCTAAAGCATTCCATGTTGGAGGCTCTGGGGCGGGTTAAGTGGTGTATGTGTGGGTGAAGCGTTTCCGCGCGGAGCATGTTTTCCAGTGCTCCCCGCTCTCTGGGCCGCTTGGTACGGTCTACACCCCCCTTCACTTCCTCCGACGGTGGTTGCACCCATCCCTCCCGGAAGCGCTCAGGCTCCACGTCAGCCATGGAGGCGTCCGGCAGTCAGAGCGGGACTGGCGCGGCTCCTGCACCCGCGGACTCAGCCTCGGCTTCGGTGACCCTGGCGCAGCTCCTGCAGCTGGTCCAGCAGGGCTGGGGACTCCCCGGCCTGGAGAGGCGCCACGTCGTGGCGACCCTCGGCGAACCCACGGCGTCCCGGCTCCCGCGGAGGCCCAAGCCCTGGGAGGCCTCGGGCTCCGCCGACGACCCCGTGCCGCCCTTCCAGACCCGGGGCCACAGGCCCGACGACCCTTCCTATGGGCAGAGGACCCTCCTGGAAGAACCTGGCTCCGGGGAGACTGCGACAGCGCCTTCCTAGATGGCACATAGTGGGTTCCTGAGGCTCGAGGTCCTTTGCAGCTGTGAATGAAAAATGTTGCTGCCCTATCTGCAAAGGACGCTGCAGCCATCTAGCCATCAGCCAGTGCTGCGGCCCCGTCGGCGAGCCCTAGGGAACCGAGGATGGAGACAGATGGGCCGCCGGCTGCCAAGCCCTCAGCCACTGCAGACACTACCAACGGCGCACCCTGAGGGGGCTCAAGATGGGAAAGAACAGGATACTGGCCTTGGATAGCTAAGGCGCATATCAAAGGCAAGGCGTCAGTGAGCCCAGACTCTTGCATCTACCTGTTCACAGAAAAAAGCTCAATTCATTAACGTGAGATGTCGGTGTGTTTTCTTTAATTAACAGTAATCTTTTGATGTTCTGACTACCTGATTTTGTCGCAGAACTCCTATCTATCGTTCAGAGAAGTCCCTCAGAGCTATCTGAGAGGCTGCCTCCTGGACTTGCGTCCTCAGAAAGTCTGCCAAATAAAATAATTCTCAACTTTGAGGTTTTGCTTTTTTTTTTTTTTCAGTCTACAGTTTTGGTGACCATGGAGAGAACCAGAGCAGACTTCTCCTCTTCGCCTGAACTCTACGAGGAACCGGACCCTTGGTACTGGCAGAGGCTTCTTGTGCCCATCCGCCTCCTTGGAGAGTTCATACGAACTTGGGTGAGTCTCTCCTGGTTCTTGGATCTCCTGATTATTGGTTGATTATCCTGAGTTTTATTTGGCAGTGTCTAGCAGATGCCTGGCCCCCCAGTTGAAAGACATTGGGGAGTGACCTCCCTAGTTGAATGGTACTTGGGGAGCACAGTTGTGAAAGACACTGGAAGAAAATGCCCACCAGCTGAAAGATACTGGGGGAACCTGGTTGAAGGACACTTGGATTTGCTCAGTTGAAAAGATATTTGGGGACTTCCCTGGTGGTCCGGTGGTTAAGCCTCTGCGTTTCCGCTGCAGGGGGCACGGGTTCCATCCCTGGTCAGGCAACTAAGATGCCACACTGCGCGGCCAAATAAAAAAAAAAAGGACTGAGCAGTCTGGGCTGAATGTTTAGATAAGAGGGTGACCCGATGTTTTCCTCAAATTGGCTACCTTAATAAGAATTTGTCAGGATAAAAGTGCAATAGTAAATTTTATCCCCAACGAATTCAGCTTTAAAACGGGAAATAGATTCTCTCAAACAAAAACGAAGGGCATCAGAAAACCAACCTCCGATTAACACTCCAGCCAGATTCATGAATGTACTGAGCTCATACTTGCAAGTACCTACTTAATTGGGAGTCAGAGGAAATCTCACCCTGAAAATGACTCAGATTGGGCTCATTTATTGAATACGCAGTTAAGTTACAAAAAGCCGGCTTGATAAAAACATCTTTTCAAAACTCTGACCTTAAAAAAACAAAAACAAATAAAAGCCCTTCCGGGGGAAGTTTAATTTCTCTTCCTGTGTCTTTGAGATGTAAATGTTCTACTTGATCTTCTTCCAGCCTTTTGCGTGTATGGCTTTTGAGAACTTGGTCTCTGCCATCCAAAAGGTGCACATATGGTGTACATTTGGTAGCCAATCAAATAGACTGGGGTTCTGAGCAGTCTTTTGTCTAGCTGTGCCAACTCTCGGGGATTTTTTGCCATCTTAACCTTCATTTGCGTCAGCCTGTACAACAAAGGCCTTTACTTTCTTAGGCTATTTTTGGGAATAAACTTTCTGGATCTTGTTTAGGCAGCAGCCTTCACTCTCTCTTGTGGGGAATGCCTCTTGCATCTTATTGGTTTGAGTCACTATTAAGATACATCTTATTAATGGCCAGATGATGGAGCCTTTAAATTGGGAAAACTCTGAATTGGTAAAGTTTTAGGGAGCTCTCATTATAACTAGCTGTTTTATTAGTACCTATGAGGAAAAAAAAAAGGTGGGAAAAATATATGTAATGGTTAACCTAAAAACTCCCTTAGTTTAAAACAATCCCCCACCCCCCAAAAAATGGTTTGGGAAGCCTTATTGTGGTCTCTCCTTCCCCTCAGTGGGTCTTATGGATAACAATAAAAACAGAATAATTAATTTTAATTAGGTTGATTAACAGGAAAACAAGAAAAAAGTGAAGGGAAAGTCTAGGGACTTTTTCCCAACAAGTTGGAAATTTTAAGGTGGTTACTTAAAAATGGAATAAATAAAACAGATGGTAATGGGATTAAATTAAAGGTTTGATACAAAACTACCTAAAGTTGGATGGGCCAAAGGGACGCACTATTGGTTCCCAACATTAAAGGGCCCCAAACAAGTCTGCTCTATTTACCCCAGTTTAAAAATATATATTTAAAGGGCTGGAAAAAATTACACTGAGATACTTGACCAACAATTACTTGGGGCAACAGGCCAATTAATCAACTTGAAAGATTGACAAAAGCGCCTGAATTCCTTGGTGCCCACTGGACCACCAGGGGAGTCCCTGTCTTGCAAATCTTGACAACAGAAATGTAAATACAGCCCACAGAAACCTGAGACTGAGCCTAATTAACTCAATCAGAAAGAACCTGAAACTAAGGAAGAAAAAAAGGAAAAAGTGGCCTTTTTAAACTCAAACAGCTGGAAAGTCTCCCTCAGCCAAAATCTAATTCATAGCCTCCTTAAAGTTTTATCAAGGACAATACAAATCTTAAGTCTTTTTCATAAACAGTAAAGGCTTAGTCATCTGAGCAAGCAAATTTAATTCATTCCAAGTGTTATTTATAAACTAGTAAGTTTATATTGTAATAACTGATTCATAACTAAGTTTTTTTTTTTTTTTTGGCTGTCCCACACAGCATGTGGGATCTTAATTCCCCAACCAGGGATCAAACCCGCGTCCCTTGCAGTGGAAGCTTGGAGTCTTAAACCACTGGACCGCCAGGGAACTCCCAATAACTAAGTTTTTTAAACAAATACTATTTTATTCTTTACAAAATACATAGTGATCTTAAGGGTACAGGTCACAAATTACAAACGGGAAAAGCACAGGGAAAAAGTTGAGACAAATGCATTAAATGACAACAAGGTTGTGTTCACCTAGAGGGGTGGGATAGGGAGAGTGGGAGGGAGACGTAAGACACCTAGAGGGGTGGGATAGGGAGAGTGGGAGGGAGATGCAAGAGGGAGGAGATATGGGGATGTATGTGTATGTATAGCTGATTCACTTTGTTATACAGCAGAAACTAACACACCATTGTAAAGCAATTATACTCCAATAAAGATGTTTAAAAAAATGACAACAAGGTACCCATTAATACGGAATCCATTTAGAATAAAACAGTTCTTTGTTAGACAAGGCCAAGAGGAGGTACCTTGTTGAGTAGAAAATGCCAGTTACCTAGAAATATACTTCTATCAAAAAGTAGAAAAGTGTTAGTAGTGTACCTATATTAAATCATAGCATATACAGGTCCAGTGTTCCACAGTACAACCATTGGTTTTAGGCAGGAATCTGTGAGAAACTTGACTGCCTATCTTGCTGGAAGAGGAAAGCCCCAGGACTGATTAACTTCCCTACCTTCCATAAAGCTTTGTTCAGGTGACTTTGGAATGTGGTGTCAAACACCCTATTCATTTCTGCCGCAAGTTCCCGCAGAACAGACACTGTGGACTCATCCCTGGCATTCAGAATCTGCACAAAGAATTTATTCCACAGTTCACCGCCTTCTAGCTCAGAAATATTTTGGCTAAGTTTCCAGAGGGGACCCATCCCAGAAGACCTGCAGGTGTTCCTTGAACAATAGTAAATGTGCTAAATCTGCTATACCAAACAGATAGGGAGAAGAACAGTTAGCCAGGATCTTTTGTCCTTCCAGGATCTGTACAGTCTGAAAGCTGCTGAGGTTAAAAACGTCTAGCTGTGCCCTAAGGTCAACACTGTAGGAAAAGTCCACCATCTTCAAAGCGTGATTGTTCTTATTACAATCATAGGGATCGTGGATTCTGTTTCTAAGAATCAGACTCCTTGGACTCAAGTCACCGTGGACTATTTCTGCTTTGTGTAGTTTCTCCACCATTGTCAAGAGGTTATAAATAATCAACACTGTCATTTCATGGGTGATAAATTCACTGTATTGAAGAAGATCCTGAAGGGTGAAGCAGTTCATATATTGGTGCCAAACGATACAGCCATCTTGGTATTGATACCAGCGACACAAATTATCACACCCCTTATTTAAACGTTCCTTTAACTTGAAGTTGATATAAAAGTCCCATGGGACAGGTTGAGAAGATACCTTTATTATGGTTAACTCTGCAGAGTTTCTTGGCGTCACCCAGAATAATTTATGGTCTTCGCATAACAGGTATTCTTGTTTAATGCAGTAATCCTCATTATCTAATTCAGTTTCCTTCTCTGTTTCCAAATTAGGCATTGGTCTATCTTCTACGAAAAACTCTGCAGAGGTACTCAGCTCTGGTTGGGATTTTAGCAGTTGTCTGTGGTACTGTGAACACCAGGGTGACTGAGTAGGGCTGTCTGTAGTCTCACTAGTGAGCTCCAGTTTCTCAGGAATTTGAAGACATTTGATGGAGGAGGTGCTTGTAACTGAGGCAGAAGATCCAGAGAACCCAGAGGAGTGTGTGGCTTCACAGCTGTCTTCAATAATTGGGCCCCAAACTGCTGAACTCCACACTCCAGAGGCCCTCCTTTCCACACGCTGCCTCTCCCCTTCTGCGCAGTTCCTCCCAATAACTAAGTTTTAAAGTGAAGCTATGAGATCTCTAGTTTTGTCTGTTTATGTGTCTGTGTGTACATTATTATGAGATATTATTATGAGAAGTATGTACCTCTAGAAATATCAAAATTAAAATTTAAAAAGAGCTCTGTATAATTGACTTAAAAGTAAGGTGTTACAAACTAAATATTTCTAAATATAAAAGAAAGTGGTCGGAATGAATTTCAGGTTTATGTGATCTAAGAAATATTCAATATTAAATTAACATTTCTTGTTTAAAAATATGTTTTTATTGATGTATAGTTGATTTACAATGTATTAGTGTCAGGTGTACAGCAAAGTGGTTCAGTTTTATATATATACTTTTTTTCTTTTTCAGATTCTTTTCCTATAAAGGAAAAGAAAATATTGAGTATAGTTCTCTGTGCCATACAGTAGGTCCTTGTTGGTTAACTGTTTTATATATAGTATAACATCTGGTATTAAAGCTAGCTTAACCTCACTGACTTAATTAATATAGACATGTCTTACTGTATTGTACCTAGGTTTACTAAAGGTTAATACATTCATGTCTTTTTTTTTTTTTTTTTTGGTTGTGTTGGGTCTTCGTTGCTGTGTGCGGGCCTTCTCTAGTTGCGGTGAGTGGGGGCTACTCTTCTTGGTGGTGTGCGGGCTTCTCATTGTGGTGGCTTCTCTTGTTGTGGAGCACGGGCTCTAGGCGCACGGTGTTTGATAGTTGTGGCTCGTGGGCTCTAGAGCACAGGCTTAGTAGTTGTGGCTCATGGGCTCTAGAGTGCAGGCTCAGTAGTTGTGGCGCACGGGCTTAGTTGCTCCACGGCATGTGGGATCTTCCCGGACCAGGACTTGAACCCGTGTCCTCTGCATTGGCAGGTGGATTCCTAACCACTGTGCCACCAGGGAAGCCCTGCATTCATGTTATTTCTGTTACAGACTTTGTCAACAGCAACAACAGCAACAAATTAACGTGTAGGATAATATTTTCATAAATTATAAAATGAAGGTAAATGAGATAGGAGTTTTCGGGTGAACTCTTTTAGAAATAATTATATCTTGGGTATGTCTGTCTAAAATAGTTTCTCTAGATTTTTGGTAACTTGAGTTTTGCTAAGTTAAGTTAAATGATGGGAATTTATTGAATGTCCAGGTCGTTTCAAATGAGATAAAATGCTGAAACATTAATTGCTAAACAGGTCTAAAGTTAATCACTTTATTCTTCTTAGGAAAGGAAAAACTAAAGATGTCTGGGTTTATTACAAACATACCTTGTACCACATTGAGGAAAGAAATTATTTTATATGTTTCTAGAGGTTATGGGATACTCCAGTCAGGGAATGCTGGTATGACAAACAGCTTATAATTACTTGCTGCTTGTTGGTTTGTGCTAGAGATTAAGTTTTTTTATGTTTCTTTTTTTGCGGTACGCGGGCCTCTCACTGTCGTGGCCTCTCCCATTGCGGAGCGCAGGCTCCGGACTCTCAGGCTCAGCGGCCATGGCTTACGGGCCCAGCCACTCCGTGGCATGTGGGATCTTCCTGGACCGGGGCACGAACCCGTGTCCCCTGCATTGGCAGGCGGACTCTCAACCACTGCGCCACCAGGGAAGCCCAGAGATTAAGGTTTTTAACAGTTAAAATTGTAGTATGTAATTAGAACTACTAAAGATAATAAGGGAAATATTTCAGTATGCAAGGAAAGTAGGATGTGTGTTTTCAGCAAAAGAAGGTATGAGGAATGGAAGTACATTTTGTTAAGGGGAAAGAATGATTTTGTCCTAGAGCTGGTTATTTCTGTATTAAAAAAAATAAGGGACAAATTAATATGAATACAGAAACTTGTAGAAGATTTGTAAAAAGAGAGCCCTGAAAAAGGAGTTTCATACATGGTCAGGCTCATATTAGATTCAATTTAATTTCGTAAATGGATTTTGTTATTAAAAGTAGACTGGTGCAAGACTGGATTTGGTTCTCTCTTTTAAGAGAATAAAGTTTTCTTGAAATACTGCTTTTGGTAACAGATTTTGTGAACTTTTTTGCCTTTAAGTGATCTTTTTTTTTTTGTCACTTCGGTTAAGTGAGTATTGTTTCACAGTGACCTGTGATCCTATTTGACCAAGTGTTAATATTTCTGACAAATATCCCAAATATCAAATTCTAACAAAAGTTCTTTTGACCTCTGGTTAACTCTGGGATGCTTCAAAGGAACCCTAAGACATCTCAGAGAGGATTATTAAACTAATTAGGCCTATTTGGTATGTTAAATTACTTGAGAAACATTGTCAAATGATTGGAGATGAGCCTTAGTTATATGGTATGGATAAATGTTATAGATATTCCAAAATTTATGTGAAATTCCTAAAATTCTGATATGCTCTGGTATAGTGTTATCAGTCATAATTCTAGTTATTATCTTAAAATGTCACATGTCATAGAAATATCCAAGTTTCTTGCCAGTTGCCTTGTAATCAGATCTTTAACCATGCCATTTAAGTCTTGTCATTTATAGACAATCATTGTTTTACTCTGAAGCTTTTATAAAATGAAAATCTTCAAGAAAATTCATAAAAAGGATTTCTGACAAATATAAGTTTCTGATTAACTTTTGGATCATACCACTGAACTAGGTAACAAATTGCAAAACTCTAATGGAAAACCTGAACACTTCATCCAGATCCTCAGAAATTAATTACATGGGACTGAATGAACTGATAAACATGATTTATAATTTTTTGACTTTTTCTGTAATATCCTGGCTTTTAATCTTTGTTTTCTAGAAAAACCTTTCCTCTTATGCTATGACCTACAAAAAGTTGATAAAGTATACCTTTATAAACAAAGATGAAACATTTATCTTCTTCACTCTACCTAGTCCTTACAGAATTTGGCTTCTCCAGCTGGGTCTCCTGTGGAGTTGATGGTTTATTACAACCAAATTACAAGTAGTTATACTAATCATTGTTTTAATTTGTTCTCTTTGTTTCCAGATTGTTTATGCTTTGTGTTTCTCTCTGCCGTACTATGACCTTATTAATGTTACTAGCTTTATTACTTATCCCATCTAGTTCATAAGATTGTCTCTTGCATTACCCAATGTGTAACCAGGTCTCCAACAAAATTAATGATGGCTAAACATCTTGAGGAAATAGATCAATAATTGTAACAGTGTGATTCTAGATATGAGAAGAAGCAACAAGGGAAAACATTTCCTGGATCATAGTAGACTAGTAAGACAGGTGATCCAGAGGATTTTACATTATCAACAGGGCCTAATCCAAAAAAAGTTAACACATTGAGTAGGCTATCAACAGAATCTTTGCCTGATCTAGGAATGAGCCTTCCTAGCACCATGGGACAAAATTGTCTCATGAAATGTCTCCCAAATGTTGGTCGAATTTTATTACTAAGGGGAAGCACTGTGGGTGAAAAATGTTGCCTGCCATATCAACAAAGGATGCTGCAGCCATCACGCCATCAGCCACTACAAACGCCCCTCACGGTGAGCCCTGAGGGGGCTTGAGGAGAGACAAACGCGCTGCCACTGCCAAGCTCTCAGCCACTGCAGCCACCCGAAGGGCGCACCCTGAGGGGACTCAGGAAGGGAAAGAACAGGATACTGGCCCTGGACAGCTAAGGTACATAGCAAAGAAATGATTTCAGTAAGCTCAGACTCTTGCATCTTCTCATACATAGAAAAGTGTTAAATTCGTTGACTTGAGATGTTTGGTTTTCTTTAGTTAACAGTCATCTTTTGATGTTCTGACTACCTGGTTTTTGCTGCAGAACTCCTGTATATCCTGTAAAGGCTGCTCCCTTACCTCTTTGGAGCGGCCTCTCAGAACTATGTTGAGAAGCTGCCTCCCAGGCTTGAGTGCTCAGAAAGGCCACCAAATAAAACATAATTCTCAACTTTTAGGTTGTGCATCTTTCAGTCGATATAACTCTGAGATCTGGAGGGTGTGACTGTGTCCTGCATAGACTAGGTCCCTGGATACTGGCCACTGCTGTTTCTCTTTTGTGCATTCACCACCACCTATCAGCTGGACTTAAGCCTCCTGGGAGCATCACTGTGGTTGTTGTTGTTGTTTTTAATTTATTTATTTATTATTTTTGGCTGCATTGGGTCTTCATTGCTGCGCGTGGGCTTTCTCTAGTTGCGGTGAGCGGGGGCTACTCTTTGTTGCCGTGCGCGGGCTTCGCATTGCAGAGGCTTCTCTTGTTGTAGAGCACGGGCTCTAGGCACGAGGGCTTCAGTAGGTGTGGCACGTGGGCTCAGTAGTTGTGGCTTGCGGGCTCTAGAGCACAGGCTCAGTAGTCGTGGCGCACGGGCTTAGTTGCTCTGCGGTATGTGGGATCTTCCCAGGCAAGGGCTCGAACCTATTTCCCCTGCATTGACAGGTGGATTCTTAACCACTGCGCCATCAGGGAAGCCCCACTGTGGTGGTTTTGTATTTGTATCTCTAGACAGTGAGCCTTAATTAAAAAAAAGAAAAAAGAAAAGTAATCCTGTTTCAGTCCTTATATGTAATTGAAACAAATCTCATACTTCACTACTTGCAGTGCATAGATGTGTTTTTATTTTTAAAATGCTACTTGGGACACACTAAACGGTTCTGACCAACTGGGAACAATTTCTTAGGAGTGTAGAAGTTAGTGTTTATCTCCCGATTCAGCTTATTCTGGTGGTTGTGGAAGTTCTGACCAACTGGGAACAATTTCTTAGGAGTGTAGAAGTTAGTGTTTATCTCCCGATTCAGCTTATTCTGGTGGTTGTGGAAGTGAATTTGGGATCCAAGTGGCATTTTTATTTCAGACAGCCATTCTCCAGATAGGCAGTGAAAAAAAAGGCTTGATGAAAAAACTTGGCCCCAGAATGACAACGAATGAAATCTCAAAGCATAAAAAAGAGCCAGTCAACAACAACCCCTAGAACCTTAGGCTCTAAGAACCAGCTGGGTCGGGCAAGGGGCTAGAGGCTCTAGAGCCAAGGAAAAGCTTTAACTACCTTGTAAAGTCAGTCTCTTTAAATCAGCCGCATGACTCACTGCACCTACTATTGTTTCCTGAAACTAGGTCTTTTGTTCTCCCTACACCTAGAACATATCAGGTATTTATGTTGACTGTCGTGATCCCACATTAGCACACACTAATAGGACTAATTTTCCCCAGAAAAAAGGATAGTCCCATAACTTGTTCACGGAATGGTATCTAACATGGTACACAATACAGAAGCGCATAATTTTTAAAACTTCCTTTACATAGATTTCTAAGTTAAAAACTGTTGTTTTGCTTAATACTCTTAACCATGGGAGGCAGACAGGCTAGACTATATTAGCCCCATTTTATAGGCAAGAGTGGAAACATTTCCTTATTTAGTATACGACAGATCTGGGATATAAACCCTGGGGCTTCCACACTCAACTGCTCTTTTCCCATGACTTTTTGATACATCATTTTAAAGTAATCTGACTTCACAATGCTTTACAGTATAAGAGTAACATCTATAACATCTCATCCTGGCAGGTTCACTCTTGAGCCAGTTAACTGTGAAATAAAATTCATGTTTTATGGAAAGAGAAGAAAAATTTAAACAAAAAATCTTCTCTGCCTTTTGGCCTCCTCTCTCCCACCACTGTGCATTGTGTATCTTGCATTATGCATTGACCAAACCTTTACCAGCGGCGGAAATTTCTACTCAACCATAAAGAGCAACATTCTCCTAAGACAGTTCCTTAAAGGTAACATTCCTTTTTGATAAGGGGTCACATGGTGCTCAGATGTGGATTATGTAAATTGTCAATAATATGTCATTTGATGTACAGCCCTCCTCTGTCTCAAAAAGCATATATAACTGTATCTTGACTTCTAATGGGCGGAACAATTCTCAGGGCTTTGTGAGATGCTCTTCCTGGGTTATAACCCTCAATTTTGGCTCGAATAAAATTTTTAAGATCGACTGATTAAAATTTTTCATCGACATATGCTTGGTGTAGTCAGCAGGATATCAGAGACTCCTGCCAGAGGCCACCGGGAGTCTATGCAGAAACAGTGCTTGGTGCCAGCATGGGCCCATTGAGCCCCATCTGCTTCTCAGCACTCCCCAGGTGTTTTTGGTGGGTTCTCCTGATATTTGGATCTCATTGTTTGGGTGTTGATCCTAAAAATTTTATTTGAGCTGGTTTTCACTTAAGACTTAGAGTCTTAAGGGCCACCGGTGCATTTCCTAGGGCGTCTGGGCAAGAGGCCCAGGGAAACATGTGGCTGGGGTTTTGTTAAATTTGGCTTAAAAAAAAAAAAAAAAAAAAAAGTTGATCTATGGTCTGAACAAAACTTTTGCTAGTGAAATCAGAGACTGAATTATTCAGCGCCAAAGAATAAAGGGACATTTTGCTCCTTCCAGCCACAAGCCATCCTCAGATGACTGAGGATCTTTGGGAAGTGTCTGAGGATCAATTTTCATGACGTGTAGCAGTCCCATAGGGAAACCCCATTACAGTCATTAAGTAAGTACTGCTCATCCAGGCGGCGTGACAGAGGCTGATCACCTAGTGTTCCGAGCATCCAAGATGGTTTTAGGCTGTAATTGGGAGAAACTGAGCCACCTAAAAGAAGTCGAACCAGGGAATTCCCTGGTGGTCCAGTGGTTAGGACTCTCTGCTTTCACTGCCGGAGGCCCAGGTTCAACCCCTGGTCAGGGAACTAAGATCCAGCAAGCCACATGGTGCAGCCAGAAAAAAAAGGTTAGTATCTGCAGATTTTGGTAACTTGAAACTAAACCAAGGTAAATTATGAGAATTCATTCACTATCTGGGTCATTTCAAACAGGATAAAATTCTGGAACATTAATTGCTGGGGAGGTCTAAGTTCTTAGAAGAGGAAAACTAAAGCATAAGCATAAGTTTGTCAATCAGGAAATGCTGATATGACAAACAGCATTTTTATTTATTTTTTTTGGCTGTGCCATGTGCGGCATGCAGGATCTAGTTCCCTGACCAGGGATCGAACTCGTGCCCCCTGCAGTGGAAGCTCGGAGTCCTAACCACTGGACCACCAGGGAATTCCAGAGAAAAATTAAGGTTTTAAGTTTAAGAATTATAAGGGAAACATTTCAGTATGCAAGGAAGTAGGATGTGTGTTTTCAGCAAAGAAGGTATGAGGATTGAAAATGCATTTTGTTAAAGGAAAAAAGGTTTTGTCCTAGAGCTGGTTGTTTCTGAATAGATACAGAAAGTTGTGGAAAGTTTGTGGAAAAAGAACACTGAGAGTTTTGTGCATGGTCAAAATTGGCTGAGATAAGATTGAACTTAATTAAGGAACTGTTTTTTTGTTTTTTTTTTGCGGTACGCGGGCCTCTCACTGTTGTGGCCTCTCCCGTTGCGGAGCACAGGCTCCGGACACACAGGCCCAGCGGCCATGGCTCACAGGCCCAGCCGCTCCGCGGCACGTGGGATCTTCCCGGACCGGGGCACGAACCTGTGTCCCCTGCATCGGCAGGCGGACTCTCAACCACTGCGCCACCAGGGAAGCCCAAGGAAATGTTTTAAAGGTAAAGTAGTATAAAACCTGAATTTGGTCCTCTAAGAGGACAAAGTTTTCTTAAAATATTGAACTGATTTTGGTAATAGATTGTGAGTTTCTTTGTGTTTAAGTGATTTGTATTTGCCATTGAGATTTTTTTTTTAAGTTTTTTATTTTTTTGGCCATGATTTTGGCTCATGGGATTTTAGTTCCCCGACCAGGGATCGAACCTGGGGCCCTGGCAGTGTGCGCACCGAGTCTTAACCACTGAACCACCAGGAAATTCCCTGCTATTGAGAACTTTTATCGTCACGCTGGTTAAGTGAATTGGTATTGTTTCACAGTGACCTGTGATTCTATTTGACCAAGTGTTTTAAAACTTTTTGATTTTTTTTTTTTTTTTTTTTTTGCGGTACGCGGGCCTCTCACTGTTGTGGCCTCTCCCGTTGCGGGGCACAGGCTCCGGACGCGCAGGCTCAGCGGCCATGGCTCACGGACCTAGCCGCTCCGAGGCATGTGGGATCCTCCCGGACCGGGGCACGAACCCGTGTCCCCAGCATCGGCAGGCGGACTCTCAACCACCGCGCCACCAGGGAAGCCCATAACTTTTTGATATTTTTGACAAACTTTCCAAAGATCAAATACTAAATGAAGGTCATTTGACCTCTAACTTTGAGGTTTTCCAAAGGGTCCCTGGAGCACCTCAAAATATTTGTTTTCTCTCCATCTCAGAGAGAGGAATATTAAACTAATTAGGCTTACTTGGTATGTTAAATGGGGAGCAGTTACATAGATGGTGATAAAACTTTAGTTTATGTCATATGTGTAAACATTATTAATATATACATTCTAGAAATTAAGTGGAACTCCCAAAATTCTGGTATGTCCTGGTAAGTGATATCAGTCATAATTTTAGTGTATGTCACAGCAGTAACCAAGTTTCTTTTCAATTACATTGTAATCAAGTTCTTTAACCCTCTTAAAAGTCTTTTGTCATTTATAGCTAGCTATATGGTCAGTTAACCAGATATTTGGTAGAAATGAGGTTAACTTTAGAAAGAAAAAGATTATGTTTCAGTGAATATTCTAGTTTTGTTAATTCAGGCATTTACTGGCTAAGACTCACTTCTCAGATAGCTCCTTGCAAAGTTTAATTAAAAGGACACTGTTTCTGAAGGCTATCACAGTACTCTAACTTTGGATGAAGATCAGATCCACCATGACCTGCAACCAGGACATTATTCATATTGGAAAAGACATCAGATAAAGGACTCCTTGGGCTTCCCTGGTGGCGCAGTGGTTGAGAGTCTGCCTGCCGATGCAGGGGACACGGGTTCGTGCCCTGGTCCGGGAGGATCCCACATGCCGCGGAGCGGCTGGGCCCATGAACCATGGCCGCTGAGCCTGCGTGTCGGGAGCCTGTGCTCCGCAACGGGAGAGGCCACAAAAGTGAGAGGTCCACGTACAGCCAAAAAAAAAAAAAAAAAAAAAAAAAAGACTCCTTGCAGCCGTGTTGGAAGGGAACGTATCAGGCCTCTCCTGAATGAACTGAAGCTCGCTTTTGTTTTTTTAAATAAATTTACTTATTTATTTTTGGCTGCGTTGGGTCTTCGTTGCTACGCGCAGTGGTGCGTGGGCTTGGTTGCTCCACGGCATGCGGGATCTTCCTGGACCAGGGCTCGAACCCGAGTCCCCTGCATTGGCAGGCAGATTCTTAACCACTGTGCCACCAGAGAAGCCCTGGCAGGCAGATTCTTAACCATTGCATCACCAGGGAAGCCCAGTGAGACCCCTTTTACCCAGCTAATTAATGCTGCCTGTTCTGGCCATAAATAATCCTTTATATTAGATGTTGAATATCAGGTAGCTCCTAACGGGAACCAGTGGATTTATGGAACAAGTTTATGACCTTGGCTCTCCCCAGCAGGGAGATTCACGATTGGTTTCCCTTGGTCACTTACTTACAGGCAGCCTTGGAAATAGTTCCTGCCAAGCTGTCAGTCTGCCTTTAGTGCAGGCACACTGGTTTCTATCAATCAGTTTTCCAATGGTACTACCATTTGGCCGTGATATTTAATTCACCTCATGACCCATGAAGAGTCAAACTTTTGCTCTGAAATATTGATACTACGAAAATGGTTTGGTCCAGAATTTTGGCTTGAACTTTTGCTAATAACATTGTTCCTCCTCCTACCAATTTAAATGAGTTTGTGGAACTTACAAGGTGATAGTTTCTTGCCTTTCACACTGTGTCATTTGCTCCTACTAAGATAATGATGTTTGAATGACTTGGAACTATAGGTCACATCTATAGTTTTCTATAAAATTATGGACATACACAATGTACATGCAAGGAAAACTGGCTTAAGTACCTTTTTGGACAACTTGGAATTGGCTGTCAATCCTTGACAAATATTCTGCCAGTATAACCCTCTAAAAGAGAGAACCGGGCTACTAGGACCCAGCATCAAGGGACATGATGGACACTGAGGCAGGCAAGCAGCCCCCTAGCTTTGAGGGACCAAACATTTGGTCACCTAATGTTTTCTGTCAAAAGATTAATGATCAACAGGGGCAAACTGTAAGATACGTATTTTATGGCAAGACAAGAAAAATTTAAACGAAAAATCTGTGCCCTTTGGCCTCCTCTCTCCCACCACTGTGCACTGTGTTATCTGCGTTAATGCATTGACCAAACCTTCCCCATCAGCAGAAATTTCCACTCAACCATAAAGAGAAACGTTCTCTTAAGACAATTCCTTAAGGGTAAAATTCCTTCTTGATAAGGGGTCACATGGTGCTCAGGTCTGGATTATGTAAATTGTCAATTGTATGTCATTTGATGTACAACCCTCCTCTGTCTCAAAAAGCTTATACAACTGTGTCTTGACTTCTAATGGGCAGAACAGTTCTCAGGGCTTTGTGAGATGCTCCTCCTGGGTTATAATCCTCAAATTTGGCTCGAATAAAATTTTGTTTCTTTTTTAGATCAACTGATTAAAGGCACAGGGGCTCAGCAATCTACCACCATGTTCTTAATAGGAAACACCCACTGGCTTGAAGGGAAAAAAGCCACCTTGGTAAGCCTTGGTCTTCCACAGGGCACAGAACCAGAGGACACTAGCAAGGTCAGAGCCCATGTGACCAATCCTGGTAGTGCAGGACTTCTTCACATAAGGTGCCTGGGTCCCTGAGAAAGATCTACCAACACCCTAAACTTCCAAGAAAAAAACTGTGGAGTGTATGCATGTTTTCCTGGGGAAAGGGTCCTTCCCTTCGCATAGATCCAAGAGTCAGTTAAAATCCTGAGCTAGAGAAAAGCACTAAGCCAGCCGGAAAGATGATAATAAGGAAGCTACCAGATACACCCAGAGCCAGCCAGTCGGAGAGCTCACTAAGCCGTCATGGAAGTTAGAACACAGACTCACAGCAGACAACAGGGCATTGTTTTTCTGCGCTTCTTTCTAATCGTATTTCAAGTTCTTTCTAAAACAAGGCCCTTGGATACCCCAGGTTCAATATGCCCCTGGGCCTGGTCCACTGCTGTCTTGTATTCATATGTGGGTATTTGTTTGTTCACCAACATTAAATCCCAGGATAGGTGTGATAAAACAGGACTCCCTCCTCCATGGCACAAGTCCTTTGCTGGTTTCAGAGGTGGACGGTGGCCTTTGCAGAAAACACACAGGAACTTTTTCTTGGAACTGACGTGGGATGAAAAGTGCCTGCCCTGAACATCACCATCTTTTCCCTGACCCTTCCCCTCCAGTTTCTGAAGATACAGCAGAAAATAATCTTGCTTGAAGATACTGGGTAACAATTCCATAAAACAAAAACACATGCTTCCAATGCACTGTGCTTTCAGATATGCTGAGGAAGAAAAATACAACTTCATTAATTCAAATGCAACGTGGCACCTAAGAGTAATCACAATAAAGAGCAATTTCAAAGAATTAACATTCCTTCAACAAGTGATGATTTAGATCTTCAGGTCCTTTTTGAAATTAGTTTTCAATATTATTCTCTCTCCACCTCCAGCTAAATGACCACAGCAACACAGAAGGTTTTTTGGTTAGTCAGTGTTTTCTATCCTGTAACTCTTGGGGTACACAAAACCCCATGCCCTAACCAGGCATTCACTGTTCCAAGTATCTCCATCCATTAGACTTGGGAATACCAGCTCCCCTACCCTGAGTTATTCTCATACATTCGTAAATGCAAAAAGATCTTTTAAGAGGCAAGGCCTAGCCCATCCAAAGTCAGCCCAAGGGCAGTTTTCAGCCCTGCCTTACCTGGGTTTAGTTCAGCTGCCGGATGAGCTGATTGATGCGTTCACCTCGATAGCCAGGTGAGCCCACTTCCTTGAGGAAGCCCACTCTATTCTTGGTAGCGTGACGGGCTACTGAGAGTTGGAAAGGGCGCAAGAACCCTGAGATCACCTGAAAATTCTTCCCCGGAAAGGCAATTTCGTGAATGAGGTCTTCCAAGCAAATGACACCAAACTTCCCTAAGAAACATAAGGTTCAGATTCCTTTATTCAACATTTTCCCAGCACACACAGTGAGGCTCTTATATGCCAGAGCTCGGCACTCTGGCAGGTTCTTGGGACTTTCTGCTCCGACTCCTAAGGTGTTCACTTACCCAGGTGCTCCTCAATCACTGTGTTGTCTGTCAAAGGGATGATTTTATTCTTGACCTTGGCTTGTCCACGTTTCAAGATGAGTTCCCGAACTGACTTCAGATTTGGAAATCTATGTGTGGCAGAGTAAAATACAACCTCAGCCACCTCCCCACGGCCACCAGGTACACTGTATTAACTGGCCACACAGTCCAGCAGCCTGGCTAAGGAGTCTACCAAGCCCCCTCCCCAAAGTGTCCTGCAACATGCTGCAGC